TTTTGTCGCTCTTATTTTCTTCAATTTCTTTCTTTCTTTTAATGTTATCCCTCAGCATTACACTACTTTTTAACCTTTCCTCACAAAATTTTTGTCGTGCTAGCGCCAATAATAACAAGACCACCCTCGGCTATCAGTATGTGTATCCCACGTTAATGATATTACTGGTATGCTCCGAGGCACTTCGATCCTGGGCTGTATACTGCTCTCCGGTTAGTTCCCGTTGCCTATTCGATGTGCGTGCGCCACCTTTTGGAGGACCGTCCGAATGACCACTTTACATCGACCGATTAAAAAAGCAAGGTGGCCTGTTTTACTAATATTATGCAATATTTTTTAAATTTTTTTATTGCGAAATTTTTTTTATTTAGCATCTTTTTTATTATATAATATTTTTTTTCCAATATTTGTGGTGCTTCGAATTTTGCTGTTTCTCTCGGGCAGCCTCTGAAGAGGTGCTACATATGTATGCAAAGCACATACATATACAAAGCACTTGCAATGAGTACTAACTGGAAGTGCACAGCCGAGGATCGAAAGACTAGGCATAGTTGCGCCCTTCGTTTGAGGGCATTTCAGTTGCATCATTAATAGAGGATAAAAGCACCAGCTCTCTAGGCGATTTTGGCATTCTTGGTATCCCACTGGTCATTCCAAGGTTTCATGCTATCGGTTTCAAATCTTTGATGTTACATATCAATTGATTTGCACATTTCCGATTGTTGATTGGAATGCTAAAAGTGTTTGAAACAGCAGCCGAATTACAAGAAGCTGAACAGTTAACGAGTAATTCTGTCTATCTGTTACCAATTCATTATTCGATCAGACATGAGCGCCACGGTGTATATCCAGAGGCGAAATGCAAAGTGTTTGGCTATCCGGATCAATCGCCCTTTTTGTGGATGGTTATCCGACGCAATAAGTTCACAAGGTTACTTTTCGCGTTGATTTTTAGTTGATCCTGGTGATTATTCGCGCCACTGATAAAGCTGATAACCTTCCCATGATTGCTTTAACAAAAACTTCATTACCATTGGTCAGACTTCTTCTTGGTTGAACAGACAAAAATATGAGATTTATTTTATCGTCCGCAACTTTTTTTTATTTTTTCATTAGCTTATGTGCTAAGATTCTCATCCTCATCAATGTGCTAAGATCCTGAGATTCTCATCAACATTTACCAGGAA